AGTGGCCTGCCCCTGGAGACAGGGCACTATTCCTTGAAAAGCCCTTTCAGAAGACTGAGAGCCTGGCCTAGGAAAGAGAGCCCATGAAAGACAACAGAAATGTGCCCCTCTTCGACAACAGAAGACCAACTTCTCTGGGTTTTGGTCTAAACTGAAGGCTTTACAGAGAAGTTGGGAGCTTATATCCCAGAAGATACCTAAAAAAGCAACAGAGGATGAAGGTGGATGCTCTAACCTTCTAGAATTATAGAGACGAGCACTGAGGGGTACGTTTTGAGAGAATATTGGTGATCTTATTGATACAGTGCAGTACAGGTGGGTGTCAGTTATCAAGTAAGTTTGGGATACTTCGTAAGTAAACCTTAGAAGAGTGCCTGTAGACAACAGTGGTTACAAATACTAGTTATGGATTAGACAGACCTGAGTATGAATCCCAAGACTATCATCTCTAGCTGAGGAAACGGGAAAATTACTGGATACCTCTGAGCCTCAGTTTTCCCATCTGTAAAGTGGGGGAAATAAGAGTACCTACCACAGGGGGTTGTTGTGAGTATAAAATAATATGCACTTAGCATGGTGCCAGGACAAGATATTATAGCTGTTGCTATTATTGGCAAAATAAAGGCTCTCAAAGGTCCTATGGTAAAAAAAAATTTAACAAAATCTGATTTTGTTTTGACACATGCTTTTCAGACTTATTTGAGTATTAAATAGTTTTCATTTTTTACACTTACAGAGGAACTTGCACACACAGAGCAAGCACTGAAAGAGGCAGCAATGAGGACTATTAGAATAGAGACAAATGTCTTAACTAACTTAAACTTGGTGTCCTCTTTCAAAGCAAATGAAAAACAAATAGCACATGGCACCCCAGGAAGGTGCCTAAACCAAACCCACAGGCATGGGAGGGTCTTGCCAGGCAAAGGTGTGCACCAGTGGGATAAACAACATGGAAGAAGATGCTTAAGAAAAATATTGATCTTTCTTTGGTATGCATGGCAGGTTTTCCCATCTTTTCATAGTGATAAACCACAAAATAAAGCTTCAAATAATAAAAAACCAAAAAACTCAGATTCAGTGTCAACATTTGCATATATTATTCTAAAACTTATGTTTCTGATGGCCTTTCCCATCACCTGTCACCACACTTAGAGTTGACAGGATAGGCTGATGAGCATGTCAAAATGAAACCAGAGACCACTTTGTCTTTAGTGGCAACTTGATTAGGTTGGGGATGTAGTGAGGTATCTTCTTTTTGCTGTCCCCTAAAATCTCATTTTCTAACTTTGTGTACTTTAAATAGCTTACAATTTTATTTGTCAATTATACCTCAATAAAGCTGAAAACAAAACAAACTAAAAACAAAACAAAATAAAACTAGGGCCGTTGTGGAGACATCTGACGAGGAAATTAGACATTTAACATAAAACTTACTGGCTATGAAATCTGTCTTTCTAGAACTTTCCTGAATTCCAAACAATGACATCATAGCTTTGCTTAAAAACATACACTCCCTAATTGCAGGGTGGGAGGCTGGGCAGAACACATCCACAGACTTGCACTATGACTGCGAGCATTCGATGGACTAGGACATGCCACGGGGCCACAGGACACCCGAACCAGAGGAGGGATGACGGAAGCTCTATAGGCAACTGCCAGGAAGGAAAGTGTTGCTCAGTCTGCAGCAGCCATGGCCATTCCCAGTCACATGAAGCACACTCAAACAGTAAGACGTACCACTGGTGGTCCCTGTACCACTGCCCGAGCCAGGTCCGGGGGACGAAACCACAGTTCTGTAGGTGGGTGGTGGTGGGGGAGGCGGAGTTGCTCTCTGTCCCAACCCAAAATCTTTAGGAGATGAGATTGTTTCTAAGTAATCATCTTTAATGAAGCTCTGCTCAGCGATTTTCTTCTGGACTTCTTCTAAATTGAGCGGCGATGGTACATTTCGAGGAGGACCAGGGGGCCCTGGAGGGCCTGGGGGGCCTGAGGGGCCTGGAGGACTTGGGGAGCCCAGAACTGGGGAGTCATCTGGGTTGTCTGATGCAGCTGGTGGGGATACCACCTTTTCCCTTGGAGTCAACTCTGGAGTAACACGTTCCGGGGACGTATCAGAAAAATGGACCCACTTTTCTTCAGCATTAACAGCAACAGACTTGGGGGACAACACTGGGCCAAAAATGCTGTCCAGGTCATTGATTGATGGTAGTTTTTCAATTTTGACCTCTGTGGCTGACTGGTCATTTCCTGTGGTTAAAGTAGTTGATTTTAAATTTTAATTGAGTTTAATATTATTTGTCAGGAGGGTGGGGTGGGAGGGGTGAGGCCAAGCCTGGTAAGTAGGTTGCCTTTCTAGGTGCTTCACTGGGCATATTTCATGATGTAAAAGTATCTTGATTGAGCTGAAGGGGAGGGGAGAGTTCCCTGCCTCCAGAATGTGAGCGTCATCTTTCTTCTGCAGGGTGACCCCCGTTAGCTACTTCTACCATCATCGAAAGAGCTGAGACTGCTGTGCTCTCAAGGGCTGCTCCCAAGAGTGCAGAGCGTGATCATTCTGAGGAGGCAGTGCTAGAGTCACCGAAAATACGGGTTCGGGGACTACAAATGCCAAAAGGGCGGTCCCTTGTGAAAATCTGGCCTACGGAAATACATGTAATACAGTAAAAAAAAAAAAGATAGCTGAAAATCACCCTCATAATTAATGATCTACTCTAGCATATTGAATAAAAATGTTTGGTGAAACTAATTATAATATCTGTTAGTTAAAAAAAAATAGCACATAATTAGCTGTATATCTTCCACCCTAAATATACCAGAAACACAGTACAAAGATTATTTAAAGGGCTATCTCCACATGTATATTATACACATATACATCCCACACACAACACACACATAGGTTATTGAGAAGACAGTCACTGCTTATTAGAATTGTTACATACATATATACCTATTTCACAGGGAAGAAAATTATGAAAACATCTGTATAATTCCTTTTTTCATCAAATCTAATTGGTTAACGTCAAAGGCATGACTGTGATATCTATCTATCTATCTATCTATCTATCTAAAGTCCCAAGACAGAAAATTATGTTTTGATAAATATTAATATCAGCTATTCTTTTTCATTCTTATCAGTCATATGAGAAAAAAATTCAAAACTACCTCCTAGATCTTGGCAGGAAAGATTTGATAACAATTGCAGTGTGAGGAAGTATACTTTCTTAAAAACTGAGGCTATTCAAATTAAAAATTGTTACCTAAATAATTGCAAGGCACGAGCAGAAGCAACCAGCTTAGTGCTTCCATATTTCACATTTGAAAGGAGTTCACATTCAAGGTTCCAAGGCTACAGATAAATGAGGCAGCAGTTTGCATAGCCCACAATATTTATAATTTCAGGTAAATTTATTTATATGTAACATATTTATGGAGATACAAGGGGCCAAAATGCTTTGCACTTGCAAACGCCTTTCCTGATGACACTCTGGATGACTTCCTGTTGGGTTTGAGTCAATATTAATTTCATAAGTGACTATGTTTTGCATTTGTTCTTGTTGATAAATATCCCATTCTGTAGCTATCAAACCCACCAGGCTGCATAAATAGCAAAGGATGATGCATGAAGCTGCAATAGCATTCCCAAGGTAATAAAGAACACATTCTAAAGGCCCAAACACATAAAATAACTATTACTGCTTTTGTCTTGCTAGCCCAATAAGACTAGGTAGATTATAAATTGAACATATAGCATTGATTTTAATAGAAGAACAAGGGTGCCTTAGAAATTGTCTGTCTAAAGGCATGCAGCACTTGCTTATTCTATTTCATCATCTTTGCACATCTTTTTGCCATGGAAAGCTAGGTACTTTTATGATTACTAAGAAAAAAATTCCCCACCGCCCGAGCTTACCAGTATGCTGCACATCCTGGGAACCATTTCATGTCTTTATAGACTAAACAGTTTTAATTCTGGCAAAAATGTTGTCCGTTCTTGGAAAATTAACAGTTGTGTCTTGAGACTATTAATTTGCATATCATGAAAATGAGATCCAATGAAGTGACATGTCAATTAAACAATGACTTTCGACATTGAGATTTTTTTCTTTCATTTTACAAGTAAATGCGACCCTCATTTAGCAATAATATACAGAGGAAAAATTAGTTGAGAAAGTGAATCTTTTTGTGAAACTTAAGAGTGATTCTTTAAAATAAGCCCGATTCGTGATAGATTGTAACAGAAGTAAAACTAAACGCAAACATTTTCATGGTTAGTCTAGTCTACAGCTTGCAACACATGATGGGTACATCAAGGCCCGGGGATACTGCTCTGATTGCCACATCATCCTGGAACAGAAAGACTAAAGCTTACCTGGTCCAACTGTGAGGGGGGAGCCTGTTCGGGGTGGGGTGGCTGGTACATTTTTTGGAGGCAGTGGAGGAGGTGCTGCCAAGAGATGAGAAGCCAAGCATTATTGATTACTTTCTCCCTGAGTCACACAATATTCTGTAGCGAAGCAGGATTTAAGCTTTCATTCATATTCTTGCTCTCAGAAATGGAATAGCCATTAACGATCTAAATATATTTTTAAAAATTCAAAGCTAAGGGATGATGCAGGACCCATTCAGATTCTTCCACTTTATGATAATAAAAATTTGCCAAAAGAATGTCAGATAATAACCATAATATTATCATTTTAATAATTCATTACTTTACGACAAACCTCCTATATCTGTACTAGGAACTAGGTACATAGGGTTGAATAAAAGGAGCCTCTGCCCTCAAGGAATTTCTGACTTAATCATTAGGCATCATGTTAACACAGTTACAATCCAGGGCGTGACCAAGGAAATGAGAACAGCTTGGGTGGGGACTCAGGTGAGAAGTTCTTAACATAGTCAGGATATTATATCCAGTCTTTGGAAATACTGGATCACGTGGCTTTATATGGATTAAGTCTGGAAAATTTTTCTAAGTTACATGTCTTAAATTTTAGTATATTTTTGAAAGTTTGAAGCAAAATGATTTGAATCAAAGAAGAATGAACACTTTACCTTGGTAAAACTTACAGAAAAAAATACCCTGAAGATAGAAAAGGTATTGTGTTATGGCCCCAATCCTTCTAAACTAGACTTGTCATTTTGTAGGCAAAATTAGGAATTACTACTTCAACAGTACTTTTGTTTTTATCCTTTCTTTAAATGAATGTTTTCTTGTCATTGGCCATATTTGTTATATCCAAAGAGTTCATTCCACTGCGGTTCTAATCCTTTGAAAATACATCTTTGAAAGTTCAAGATTAAAAAGTGTTGTTTTTTTTTCCTGTTTTATAAAGGAAACAAGAGGCTCAGTGCATGGATTCGTGCACCAGTGGGGTCCCTCAGCCTGGCCTGTGCCCTCTCGCAATCTGGGACCCCTCAGGGGATGTCGGACTGCCAGTTTTGGCCCAACATCCCCCGAGGGATGTAGTAGTTCTCGAAACAGCAGGTGGCCGGGGAGGAGCCCAAGTCTGGGCCAGGCACCAGGCCACTCCCACACATACTGGCCCCTGCTATGCCTGCCACTGCTGCTGCTTGGTAGCACTGCCACTGAGGCTGGAAAGGCTCATGCTGCTGCAGCTGCTCTTGCCAGCCGTGAGCCTGGCTTCTGGCACCCATGGATCAGCTGAGCAGTGTTCCCACTATGGGAGCATACTGACCACTGGGGGGCAGCTCCTGCGTTGAGCGTCTGCCCCCTGGTGGTCAGTGAGCGTCATAGCTACCAGTCGAACGGTCGTTTGGTTGTTCAGTTGCTTAGGCTTTTATATATATAGATATTCTCGGAAAGATTGGATCACATGGCTTTATAGCAACATTTCCAACAAACAGCCTCTTGGGCCGTTGATTAGGAATCCCTTGGTTAATTCCTATGATTATTTTTAGGCATCAAAAAGCAGAGCCCTGGGGATGCTGAACTGGAAAAAGTATTAATTGGTCTCTATGCGAACCTCACAGCGTAAAAATACCCTCTGCATCCTCCCACCATGCCCAAACACCTTTCTCTAAGATCCAATCTTCCTCCCATAGGATTTTTAAGGAGTGCTTTCCCCATGCACATTTGCTAAGATAAGTCCACTGAAATGAGAAGTCAATAAATCCATCCGACAGGTGGCTTGACCTAATGAGCAATCCATTCAGCCCCAAAAGCCCAACCCATTGCAGGCAAAGGGCTCTAAAGATCTTCAGGACCTGGAGTGGGGGAGGGGCATGCCGGAATAAGATGGGCTGATGGCCCTGCTTTGAGATAAATTTGCCCAGATCTCCTGTCTCGGCTTCTCTCTACCATATAGCATCATTTCCCTTGCTCTCCAATTGTCATTCTCTCCTCTCAATGTGGTCTTTCTATCCTATGCAGCCTCAGTTGTTCTGTAGGACTATCAGAAACCACACCTGCCCTGGTGCTGTGTGATACCTCTGCGTTGTGTGATAGCCCAGGCCTGGAGCATGGTAGGTTCTTGGCTCACTTGCTTTTCACTCTTCCATATGCACACTGAATGCATGACTAAATGAATGAATGAATAAGTGAGTCTGTGGAATGTCAGAAGAGACTATGATCCAAAGTTACTGATTTTACTTTATTTATGTTATTCCTGCCTTGACAACCTGCCTTGGCCCCTTTAACTCTAAAGCCTGTTAGAATAACATCTCTTCTGAATATTATACAGTCCAAATGTTGCTTACGTAGACTTTCTAAAAGTTGCCCAATTTCACTATGCAGACAGACAGTAAAATGAGTCACTTATTTTTCCAGACAGAGCAGGCACATAACTTACTTCCAGTGGGAAAAGGCCTTGTTAACTTTGGCGACTCCATGCTTGGATTAACTGGTTGGCCTGAACCCCATATCTCAGGCTGATCTAAAGGAACTGGAAACATAAAAAAAAAATTTTCCAGGGTGAGTTTACAAAAGAAATGCCTCTATATTTTAGAATTTAACATTTCAATTTAAAGTTGAGCTTCACAAAATTACTTCCCTCCTGCCTCAGAATTAGCAAATTAATCTAGGAACATGCTGTTCCTCGTTCTTTTCAAGCAGAAAATGGAAACAGGAGTGGGGGGTGTGTTTTTGTATGTGTACAGGAGAGTGTATGTGTGTTTATATACAGCTAAGTAAAAACTGCATTTTCTTTCTGGTTGATCACTCGAGGACATTCTGAATATACTGGCTCAGTTTCTGGTACCCATTTGAAAATCCAGCCATTAATCCCATGGAAAGTTGCTTTAAGTTGGTTTATTTAAAGTTTGCTAGGAATACCGGTATGTTTCAAAAATTAAAATGCCTGGGTTCTATACAGTGGTTTGTATCTTTAAAGGATCTTATAGGGTCTTTAAATAAACCTTTCACAGCATCATAGAAAGAAATTAAATGATCAGAAAATGGTAAATACTTAAGAGAACCAGAAAAATAAACAAGTGCTTACCAGTAGACATCTAAAATATATCAGAGCAATTAGGTATTGAATCTAAGGACACTGAATCTAAGATTTCTTCTACTTGTTTCATCTTCTACTTTTGATTTTTTTATTGCTATGGTAACAATGTAAATAACTAGCTCTTCCCAGCACCTATCATGTACCAGGGGCAATATAAGTACTGGTTGTAATTCATTATGTTATGAAACACAAGCTGGAAAGTTAGTTGAATATGAATTTGAATGCAGCCTCCATACTTATTGTAGACCTTGGGCAAGTCATTTAACCTCTGAGCTTCCCTTCCTTTAGTGAAGACATAAAAGCAATCTCAGAGATTTATTTAAAGGATTGAAGGAGGATATAAATATAATGTATACAAGATGTATATAGATCACTTACCACAAGGCCCATAGCTATTACTATATATATTTAATCCTCAAAATACCGCCATGTGAAAAAAAATACCACCATGTGGTTGGTATTAGTACCATTTTCAGTAGAGGAAACCAAAAATTAGAGTGATTATATAACTTGCCCAAGAGCATACATGGTGAACACAGAGGAGCTTAGATCTGATCCCAGGCATGCATGCATGCCTGACTCCAAAATACATATACTTTCCCAGGCTTTTAAAACTAGTGATAGAAAAATCAATCAAAAAAAGTGAGAGTGTATATATGACAGGTAAGTGTGGGTATTAGAAAAGCAAATGTGCTTGGTGCAAATGTTGGAACTTCACGGAATTTCTGGGGCCAAAACCACCTAAAGAGCAATCAAGCCAGGCTCACTGACAAGTCCAGGGGTGAATCTCCTCTCCATCATAAACCACATAAATGGTCTTAGCATAAAAGTAAACATTCTTTAAGGATGTAAAGCAGTATTTTCTTTGTATGGATTCAATGTCGAATACCACCTTGCATTTTAAGAACTGTTTTCTATTTTGTATATCAGGTTTCGATATAGTTATGAAATTCTTTTAATAGGTAGATTTAAATGACACAAATCCAATCCCACCTTCACTCACTACGTAATTATGTCCTTAAGAACAGATGATCACAGATAAGTTAATAAGAGACCTAAGTTGTAGACAAATCACTGAAAGAGTATTTAGGGATGCTTCTTATACATTTTCCTAACCAAATCACTGAAAAATGTTCAGATGTGGCTGACTGCTAGCTGTCTTCCAGCATTCTCTCCATTTCTTCATAGTGAAAGAGTTTTAGCTGGTCCTGTGGCACAAAATGATCTATCATGGGCTCTGGTTAGAAGTGATGTATGTCTCTTCCAGATTTTGCTCTTACAAGAACTGGCAGTGAGGTCCTTTGGCCCTTCCCGACCTTACTCCCCTTCTTCTGACTGGGAGATGATGGGAGCTGAAGCAGCACCCTCAGACCCAGAGACGAATAGCAGAGCCAACCTACAGTCCTATGTTGTTTGAGACTGTTAACGTGAAAGGGAAATAAAATTCTATCTTGTTGAAGTCATTATATTTTGGCGCCTCTTTGTTACAGTAGCTTAGCCTACCTATTATGGTTTTAAGTCTTGTCCTTAACCCTTAAATATAATTTCCCTCACTAATGGATTCTAGAAAAATAATATTTTTTAATATATGTGGCATAGTGTTCTTAAATGACTTTTATAAGAGCATTTTATATTACCAAACACAGCTACTGTAGATCTGATGATACGTTAAGAATATGCTTCAAAACACATATATTTACTTTAAGTAAGTTAATGAAAAGAAAAAAAAACTACAGATATATATATTTTTCCTACCTTCTGTCTTCTGTTCATCAAAAGCTGATTCTAATGGTGGGCCAAAGAGGGGAGCTAAGGCCATAGTGTCATCTGGAGGTTTTTTGCTAAATCACACACATTAAAGCAAAACATAAAGGGGATATTAATGCTGAAAAACATATACACATTTTCACATATTTTTCACAGTAAGGCAGATGTATGTGTGCACTTGTGTCTGTATGTATGAATGTGTGTAAGTTCCCATAGGTCTAGAAAGTATATGTGGGATGTCAAATGTATTATGGATAAGGGAGTTGGTAGGAGATAAGATCCCTCAATGGGGGACCAAGGTGCCCTTTCAAATAATTTGAAGGAGAGAACCTCTACCTAGAACGGATAAGTTTATTGTAAAGTACCTTACTCTCTTAAGATCCCCAAAACCACCCCAGCTGGTTTGGCTCAGTGGATAGAGCCTTGGCCTGCGGACTGAAGGGTCCAGGATTCGATTCCCGTCAAGGGCACATGCCCGGGTCACAGGCTTGATCCCCAGTATGGGGCGTGCAGGAGGCAGCCAATCAATTCTTTCTCATCATTGATGTTTCTATCTCTCTCTCTCCCTCTCCTTTCCTCTCTGAAATCAATAAAAATATATTAAAAAAACAATAAAATAAAATAAAATGTTCCCAAAGCACACAGTTCTAAATGTAGAATATAGGATTCTTCTAATTTGAAAAAGAAAAAAGAAAAAAAGATCTCCACCCATTGATATTTGTCTTCGCCACATCTCTGTGTTATAGTTAATGCAGTTTATAATTAGTGAAAGTCAGGCCAGGGAGGCTAAGTGATAAGCCACTCAGGAAGTTTGTGTTTAAATAAGAAACTGGGCCTACCAGCTTCTAACTGCATCCATTCCTGCCTCCTACCCAATAGACTAGTTACAACCTCTTAATACCTTAAGATAGCACATCTCAGAAAGAGAAAAAGAGTACTGAGAAATCAGGGAGGAAAAGAGAGTAATAAGTTAAACTCTCATCCTTTTTCCCAATGATTACTTAAACTCATTATTAATGAAAGGTTGCATAATCTTCTCCATTTCTTCCCTAGATTAATCCTAATGAATTCTCTGTGTGGGTGGTGGGAGGTAAGAGGTGAAGGGGAGAAGGGAGGGGTTGGAGAAGGAGGGAAAATAAAAAGATTCATCTTTTAAATAGGAGTCTTTTTGGAAAACAATGTCCATTTGTATAATACTTGCTCAATCCAATAAATACACAGTATAAAATACAATGTTTTGCCCTAAACAAAACAGAAGATTCCTTTGGTGTGTGGCAGGTAGAATGTATCATGAAATTGTATCTGACTGAACAGGCTATTCTTCGTAGAAAAATATAAACATACTAGAGGCCTGGTGCACGAAATTCATACACTTGGGGGGGGGGTCCCTCAGCCTGGCCTACGCCCTCTAGCAGTCTGGGAGCCTTCAGGGGATGACTGACTGATGGCTTAGGCCCGCTCCCTACTGGCTGAGCGGCGCCCTCCCTGTGGGAGTGCACTGACCACCAGGGGGAAGCTCCTGCATTGAATGTCTGCCCCCTGGTGGTCAGTGCACATTGACCAGTCATTCCAACATTAGGTTAATTTGCATATTAGCCTTTTATTATATTGGATTTCAGCTTGGTATACAGACCCCAAAGGACCTCTTCATACAAATTTTCAACCTTGCTATTAGTGAGGAGACTGCACATTCTGATAGATAGTTACTGTAGGTGACTACAGAGTACTTTCCTAAAGGTGTCTCTCAGGCTGCACTTATGAGAAATGATAACATATATGAATCACACTATGAACTTACACACATGGGCAGGTCCTTTTGTAAAAGGAGCTGAGTTTAGTCCAAATGAGATAGGCTACATTGTTAACAGTAGTGATGCCTCGCATGAAACACAACCAGTGTCTTTCACACTTACCTCATGAGTTCTGGTGTCGGTGTGGAACGCCTGGGTCTGGCCACTTCTTCACCTGATACACGGGACAAAGGAATTTTTAGGCATATTTTTCTTGCCATTCCTTACTTATCTGTCTTATGAGCTATGTTTGGAAACACTTAAAGAGTTAAGTCCCATCAATAAGCAACTCAACATGAAAGCTTTGAAAAACAAACCCACAAAACAAACCTTCTCCCCTGGCAATGCAACAGTCTTATATTAGGCATATGTAGTAGCAATTTCTCTGGCATTTGTAAAAACCTAATTAACCAAGGAATTACCACGCTAAGCCATCAAATAGAAGATTTGTATACTGCAGAGCTAGTGGAGTAGCATAACATTCTCTGAATGTCTGATGCCTTGATCAGGTCTGCTTCCCAACTGTCATAAGAGAACATTAAGCCAGGCCGTATGTACATAGGACATGAATCCAGCATTCTCTGCCTGTTCTTTTCTTGAAATGCCAAGAAAATGTTATACCTTTAACCAGGAACCATGAATTTAGAATTCCCTAGAATGTGTTGTATGCAGCAAAGGAAGACCATGCCCTATGTATATTATAACCTATTCCATGTCACCTTGGCTGACTAAAATTTTTATACCAAAATAACACAAGAATGGGTAAGTCATATTTATCTTCAGTTCCTTCTGCCCCCTCTCCCCACCCTCATCACCAAGCACACACTTGATGAACTTCATTTCTAAAGTCAAATGATACAAGAATTGAAAAATACAGGAAGAAAATAAGCAAAGTTTTCCCCCAAACATATTCATTTTCAGAATTTAAACATTAATCATTCAGAACCCACTAAGCCCCTTTATCATTGTATTTCTTTGCTGTAGAAGGTATTTGTAAGTCTTAAAAACCAAGCCCAAAAGTATATAAGTCAAATGTATATATGCTTCAAGATCCAAGGAACTTATTCCTTCTTTTAAATTGTACTCTATTTTTGGTAGCTAAGATATACTTACTGGATAAGTTCCTTTTAATTGCACCCTAGAATTAGAAATAGACACTATAAGGTTTAAGACCACATATATGTTATGTACAATATGTATATTTCTGTTATTGCAATTAATCTGAACTCAAAGAAATCAATGGGGAAAAATGAAAATTTTCTCAGAATCACATTCAAGTTGGAAATTGTAGACACATTCATATAAATCAGTTTTCATTTCACTTAGGATTATAGAGAGAAAGGAAGGGTAAATTATGTCTCCCAAACCAGAAAAATCCCTTACCTGTGTAGATCTGGTAAATATTAAAGTAAATATAAAGTAAAAATTAAAGTAAATATTAAACAGTCTATTAAAAAACAACCCTGAAGTCTAGTAGACAAGAAAGTAAGTCCAAGTTTAAGTTACATTTGATGTTTGAAAATCATAGACTATATTAAGAGTACTGTCTGCTCTTATCATATGGGGGCCATAAACTAGTTGAAACAGTCATTAGTTTACTAATGCAGTTTTTAATGGATGTAAGTGACAAATGTTATAGAGAAGGAAACCTTCGAAGCATTGCCACTGAATGGGCTGTTTTATGAAGGGAGTCAGGGAATTCCATCCTCCCCACTAGGTTGCCCCACCCCAATTTCTTCCACTTGCCTGCTACCTGGCCCACCAATCTACCATTGGGGGTCATTCCTTTAGTTCAAGGCATGTGATACTACTGGAATACAAACAGGCCTGACAGAAATACTAGTAATAGGCCCTAGCAGAAACTTATTTTGATAACAGAAGGATTGATTAGATACAAAGATTTGATTCAAAACCACTATAAAAGGTTCTTAGCATGAGGTGCTTCCAGAAAAACAGACCACTGAAAGGGAGGCACCGTGGGTGGGGCGTGGCATGGCAGGGCTGCCTGAGGAGAATGATGGGGCAGACAGAGCTGCATAAGGAAAGTGAAAGTATTTCAAAGGGTATGACCATTAATTTGGTGGGTGGTCAACAAAGAGTTTTTCTACTTCCCTACATTGGTGAACTCTCAACCTAGTGGTAACATATATTTTCTTGTCTCAAATGATAACATCAATAACTCAGGACAAGACAGCACTATATGAAGCTTCTTCCCCTATTTTGTAAAGATTTTTCAGAATTGGGGTTTGTCTTATTTTCAACTCATTTATGATAGAAGAGCAGTTTCCATCTGAACAGGATCCACTAGATGTTTTGTAGTGGGTGGCCCAATCTCTCAAACTAGTTTCTGTCTTGTCCTGACTAATAACACAATCTGTGTGTGTGTCATATAGAGAATTATTATTTTGTTAGTAATAACTTTAAAAATAAATATTTTATGTTTAAAAATATTAATTTCAATATATTTTATTAAATTAACATATCTATTTAAATTTATAAATAAACATTTAAATACATGTGGATATTTAAATCAGCTATAGTCATTATGGGAGTTTGGATACCGGTTGGCTTTTGGAAAATAAGACTGTATAGACAAAAATAACAAGAGAACAAATTGTTTAAATTAAAATGTTTTCCTAGGTTATGAAGCCTCAGCTGGTTCTATTTTTATTAATAAGGTCTGAAGGAAGAGACCCACAGGCTCTAAGTTCTAGAGACTCTAAGTTCTAGGGAATGGTTCCCCTCTAAGTATTGTGAGACCTGAAATCCAGGAATTAGGGGGCCCTAAGGCTGTACTGAAGACCTTTCAGTCTACTTTACCCTTTTAATAAAAAATGTAATACTTATGAAAACAAGAAAGGTTCAACGCCTCTTTTGTATTCACCGATTCCTGGTGTATCAATTCATTCAACAGATATTTACTGTTGGGAGACCCTGAACAAGAAGCCCCTGTAACATTTTTATTAAATACTCCACATGAATAAACAATTGCCCATTAAATGCAGGCAAGACATGGTAGAAATATGCAAGAAAACGCTTGTTTAGAAATTTGGAAAGATAAAAATAAGATCAATTTAGAAAGGAACAGATATTTGAACAGCAAGTGAACAGCGACAGAAAAGAAAGTCCCATTGTCAGCTGGATGTGGCATACAGATTTTGATGGCCTTGATGTTGCAGCATGATAAATTCAAAGCTGGGTTACAGTGATGTTGACCACACAAACCACATTCAGGAAGAAAGCCCATTGAATTAAAAAACCTCACCAAATGACCACATTTTCAATGATTGCCCTTATATGTAGATTGTGAATGAATTTCCTTCATTTTGAATTAGTTAGTTCACTTTTTTTCTTTAAAGAAAAAGAGTAACTTGTCACAATCTGAGATGTCACCTGAGATCATCCATACTTGCAGGTGTTGCTTTCTTTGATACTCAGCCAAGTGGCTTAACCAACCAACCACCAGTTTCTCAACTGGGGCACAGTATTTGCCTTAAATAATAACTGATTAATTGAATTGGCACAGACCTAGGGATATTTCAGATGGCATTGTTTTCAATTCCATTTCCTCTCTCAAGGGACTGGCCAGATAGAAGCAGGTATTTCAAACATAGCAAAGACCCTTTTTTTTGTTGCTTTGAATACATTACTCTTCAACCTGAGGAAAATGACTGAGATTTTACTTTGAACAATGTAAACTAAACTGATTTTTGTCTTCAGTGATGGCATATAGAATTATGTGACAGCCTAGGCATATCGACTTGAAAGCATGTCTCCTCCTCTAAGATGGAAACTGTGATTATGCATTATTATGTATCAGTGTACACTGGCCAATGCAACTTATTATAAATTCAGTCTTAAAAACCACGTGGCTTAAAAATGGTTTCCTTACTTTCCTTATAGTTTTCTTATTCTTCAAACTTATACACTTCTTATAAACTTCTATGATGCTTTCTGGCCAATCTCCAGGTCTTGCTCGTGTGCGCATGCATGTAGACGCGCGCGCACACACACACACACACACACACACACACACACACACACACACCACATTAGGAGTTGGGATACCTATGTATTAATTTAGTTTAATGTATTAATGGAGAAGTGCTCTTATAATCCTAAAATATGTTAATGACACTTTCAGGACCAGACACTTCCAACCAGTAAACTGAATTCATCTGCCTCATTCATACTGGGCTGTCATAAATTTGATGAGAAGTCAACTTGGCCATCTGGCCTTGGCAGCAATTTTCTTTATACATGTTTAAGATAAAAATTTTGAAAGTTCTTACCGGGCTGCGCCTCTGTGATCAGCAAAAAGGAAGAGAGAACAGACACCTAGTCAGAGAATGATGGATCAGTCAACAGGCTTGGGTAATAGAAGGCTTCATAAATAGCTAACGAAACATGCACTCCAAGTAATCAGGCCAAAGGAAGACAGGCAGTCATGGTGTTTGTGGCTCATTTAAAACATAAGAAAGTTTAGGAGAACTCTAAAGAGAATCTGTCCATTGTATAATATAGCTTTGCTCATGGGGATGTACTACTTTCAAGTTACAGGTACACAAGAACAAGGTGGAACATCTAAGACATTTTGTTAAGTTGGCATGGGAAGTTTTTCTCCAGATTATTTGGGGAGAGGGGTTTTAGAGAATAGGTAGTACAGGGAAAGCTGATTCCCCATTCAACAGGGTGTTAACAAGCATTATAGGCAATGCATTTCCCACATAATTAGGGCATGAATTGGAGACTCCAAAAATCAGAGACCAGGATTAGAGATATCTCTTCTTAGCCTGGTTCTTTTCTTAGTGTTCTGTGGAATGTATGCCAATGAGGACCTTATTTTGCAAGTAGCCATTCTTGGCCTAGTGGTTTGGGCAGCCTCTACTAATGAGTAGGAATGTGATGGGAAAGATGAGGCACCCCTGCCAAGCACAGATGGGAAAATGAAATTGTTCAGCACCAATAGAACACTGGTAGACCAGTTGATGTCCAGAAAACACAACAAGCAGACATACTATTTCTTTCTTTCATTCCTCAGACTTTGACTATTGCTATCAATTTACCTCAACAATCTTTGATAGTGCCCCCTCTTTAAAATTTTTCTGTAGTAACAAAGATGACTCTGAGGTGAGTGAGGAAAGAGATGATGCTCAGAGTTTCACTTTCAGGATATGGGTTAAACCATGAATTTACCAGAGGCCACCTGGGACCCCATAATGGCTAAATCTCCAAATGTGGGCCAGGAGCACAAATATAAAAGTAACTAAGAAGGTTGTTCAAATGAATAAGATGGTTCTAAACTCCAGAACACATACAGAAAATAAAAACCTATAATCTTTTAAATGTGGGAGGCCTCCCTGGCTATCTAGTCCAGCTGCCCTTATGATATAAAGAAGAAAGTGAGGCTGAGACACACAGCTAGCAAATGGGTAGCATCAGAGACAGAATTTCAGTCTATAAACTCTTCGTTATCATGCTCTTTCTAGGACACCAAGTGTGACGTTGTTGGAGAACTCCTAAAAAGCAAAGAGCCCTTGTGGCTAATGTCCAGGAATGGTTACTTCTCAGATGAGTTTTTTAAATAGCCAGGAGTTTAGATATATTTACTCTAGTCAATTTCACTTGTAAGAGTTTAGACTTTATTTTTTGCCTTACTTTCCAGGTACTGCTCCATGTTGATTCCATCTCCCTTATAAATCTATCTAAGGGCACGGATGAAATTTAAATAAAATTAGAAAAAAGGACACTTATGAATATGCATTTCTGGGCTTAAATTCTTTGACTAATTCATACTATGTTTTGAGAGAAGTTCAAATACTATTTTATATAAAGATTTAGGCTTTATAATTCTTTTAAAAAATATACTTTTGATTGATTTCAGAGAGGAAGGAAGAGGGAGAATGATAGAAACATCTATGATGAGAGAGAATCATTGATCAGGTGCCTCCTGCACACCCCCCCCAGGGGATTGAGCCCACAACCCAGGATGCTAAATTGCTTGGAATTTAATCCCAGCAACTTAGTTTACTAACGGTCATTTGACATTGGAAATGTTACTTAAACTCTCTGTGTCATGGATTTTCACCTGTAAAATATGAAAAGAGTATTTCTCAATTGATAACCTAGCTGTGAAATAGCAACAAATTAATACATGAAAAATAGTTTGAAGAGCCTGACCTGTACAAAAAACATAAGCTAACACACATTTTTTTTTGTTTACATTTGGAAGATTGCTGAGAACCTCACGCCATTGGAAGTTCCGTGTGCCTGCTATCTAAAAGGCGCATGTGTAAATCTTTTTGCATTTAGTAGATGCTGTGGGCTTGATTTCTTGTTCCTTTCACCACTGAACATCCTGTGAATGGCAGTGTCTCCCACTCACTTAGCTTATTGTCAAGTCCATCATTCTGACTCTGAATCGTGGGTCCTTGCTGGGCTCTGCTAACAGCTTCCATCAGTTTAATGTCATATAGTTTAGACCAGTGATGGCGAGCCTATGACACGCGTGTCAGAGGTGACACGTGAACTCATTTTTTTGGTTGATTTTTCTTTGTTAAATGGCATTTAAATATATAAAATAAATATCAAAAATATAAGTCTTTGTTTTACTATAGTTGCAAATATCAAAAAATTTCTATCTGTGACACGGCACCAGAGTTAAGTTAGGGTTTTTCAAAATGCTGACAAACCGAGCTCAAAAGGTTCGCCATCACTGCCCTAGGGCATGCTTTATAATTATTTAACGACCAGATTAACAATCTTCTCGAAAGAAAGACATGTGGGAATTTATGATTTCAGCTTCAATTTCATGGCAAAAAAATTCATTCTTTTGTTTTGCTAATACTCATCTGAGGATATTATTTTTCCATTGACTTTTAGAGAGAGTGGAAGGGAGGGAGGGGGAGAGAGAGATGGAGAGAGAGAGAGAAACAGAGAAAGAAAGAGAGAGAGAGAGGGAGACATTGATGTGAGAGAGACACATCAATTGGTTGCCTCTCACAGGTACTCTACCAGGGCAGGGATCAAACCTGCAGCCCAGATACATGCTCTTGACTGGGAATCGAACCCAAGACCCTTCAGTGCATAGGCTGACGCTCTAACCACTTAGTCACACCAGCCAGGGTAACAATTCATTCTTAAAAGTAATATAAAATACAGCAAAGGGGGAATTAAAAATGACACAAGTTCCCCCAAGATAAAATTATGAGAAATAATGCAAAATAAAATGCAGATTTTAGACATCCAGAAGAAAAAACTTAAATCCAAGAAATTTTAGTGATATAAGATTATAGAGAACAATACTTTACTAAATAATTTCAGCATGTTAATCCACCCAAAGTAAACCATATTTTAATTTCCAGTGAGTTAAAAACCTAACTTTTAATCAATTGTTCCTGTATTTTTTTCTAGTAAAAGACACCTCATAAGACAGCATTTTGGAAACTATTTGCAAAATGCCTTCATCAAGGAACAGCTGTTCAAATTAATATAGTCACTAGTTCATTAACCAGAATCCTGTAGAAGCTGTGGAAAGGTCAGACCCAGAAAGCCTCAGGTTCATAATTAAGAGCTATCTGAAACCTTCAAAGGAAAAAAACACACGCCAGAAGTCAAATTGAAGGGCTTTATGTATGTTAACTAGAGGCCCAGTGCACAAAAATATTCGTGCACTTGGGGGGATCCCTCAGCCCAGCCTGCGCCCTCTTGCAGTCTGGGACTCCTCGGGGGATGTCCACCTGCCAGCTTAGGCCCACTCCCTGGGGGATTGGGCCTAAGCTGGCAGTCAGACATCCCTCTGGCAGCCCGGGAGCCCTCAGGGGATGTCTGCCTACCAGTTTAGGCCTGCTTCCTGGGGGATTGGGCCTAAGCTGGCAGTCAGATATTCCTCTGGCAGCCTGGGAGCCCTTGAGGGATGTCTGATGGCTTAGGCCCACTCCCCATAGGGGAGCCGCAGTCTGACATCCTTAGTGCTGCCAAGGAGGCAGGAGAGGCACCGCCACCTCTGCTGCATTCGCAGCCATCAGCCTGGCTTGTGGCTGAGCGGAGCTCCCCCTGTGTGAGTGCACTGACCACCAGGGGGCAGCTCCTGCATTGAGCCTCTGCCCCCTGGTGGTCAGTGCGCATCATAGTGACTGGTCGTTCCACTGTTAGGTTCGATTTGCATATTACCCTTTTATTATATAGGATTATCATCATTAAGGAACTATAGGCACTGCTGAAGGACATGGACAGTCAAATCATTATCAGCCAAGAGGGGAGGGTCTTTGCCTATTAAAAGTTTTATTTTACTGTTTCTTCTGTCATTTCCCATGGCCTTTAAGCCTTTAGCATTCTTTGTTCTACCAATAGATTTGCTTCAAGGGTGGAAGGAAAATCATTCAGTATCTGGGCTTATATTTTATTAGAGGCTCAGTGCACAAAATTTGTGCACGGGAAGGGGGCCCTCAGCCCGGCCTGCACCCTCTTGCAATCCGGGACTCCTCAGGGGACATCCTAAGAGGCAGTCGGACATCCCTCTTGCAATCCGGACTGCTGGCTCCTAACTGCTGGCCTGCCTGCCTGCCTGATCGCCCCTAACCCCTCTTCCTGCCTGCCTGATCACCCCTAACTGCTTGCCTGCCTGCCTTGCCCCTACTAACCACCTCTGCTTGCCTGCCTGATCACTTCTAACCATTCGTTTGCCTGCCTGATCGCCCCTAACCACCTCTGCCTGCCTGCCTCATCGCCCCTAACCACTCGCCTGCCTGCCTGATCACCCCTAACTGCCTCGGCACCGCAGCCGTGGCTTCATCTGGAAGGACGTCCGAAAGGTCGTTTCGCTGTCTGGTCTAAATAGCATAGTACACTTTTATTATTATAGATGAGCGGAACACTCTTAGTGTTGAAAACTCAAATGTGTACAGGGCAAAGAGCTGGGGTATTGTGTGTAAGGGCACGTGTGTTACACAAAGTTTTGGTTAAATGCCCACTACTCAGGTACACTCGTGCCTGCTGTTCCTGAATGTGGGCCTAGTACTGCCAGATCTTCAGAGTTGTTGAATGAAAATGCACATCTAAATTATTTTTTAAAATTCAAATGTTCTAATTTTTTAAATGCAGACTAAAATTGTTTTTAACTGCACTATATAACAGAACACTTACCCAGTGCTCAGAAGCTGCAGGTGGCCAATTGTCTCTGATTGTATGCATTTGTATCACAGAAAACAAGCTCTCAGTAAATTTCATCTGCTGTTTTTATTATTTCACCTGATTACTCAAACAGGGACTTTGCAATTGGCCTATTTATTTTTCTGAACAAATTTCTTGCATTCCTAATTAAACATTAATTGTTCAATTCCGAGATTTATCTAGATCTGTTGATGATTTTGGAGGTTTTGAAAAACATTTTATTTTCCCCTCTACTTTTATTTTGGTGTTCACTTCAGAGATAGCTAACTCTGTATTTTGAGGCTGCTTTCAAAGTGGGTAAATACTACTAAGTTATGATTTGATCTCTAGAATAAGGCTACTTGGTTGTATTTGTACATGTTACATTTGTAAAATGTATATGATTTGCAACATGTATATGATTCCCTACAAAATATACTTGAGTCTATGTCCTTGCAGTCCCAAGTGTCCTTACTCCACACAAGGTTGTTTTTTCTTTTGCACAAAATAATATAAATTATGTTAATTGGGATGGCTTAGTCTCAGCCAAAGTAGGTTAGTGTTTTAAGATACTTATAAAAAAAAGTAATCAAACATAATGTCTTGCTTATCCAAAGCACTAAATAACTAGCCTCAGGTTTCAAAGCTTATGACATTTTATGACATCCTCATTTGCTAAATTCAGTGCCATGGGGAAACAGAAAAATGCATGAAAAGCTATAAAGCACCAAACAAATATTATTTTTATATAATATAGTCATAGCAAATTCAGTGATCCAGTTAGAGAATTGCCTAGGAAAGAATTGGTATATATGATTATTATGTTATTGTTTTAATCCTAGCCAGTATTACTACTTGTTTTTAAAGCTTTAGGATGAAGACAAACTATCTGGCAAGCACCTATTTGCTACCCACCCATTGTAGGTGTTTGTCTATATTTAAATTTTTTTCTATTATATGTATTTCAATTATATCTACTACAAGCCAGATTACAATGAATACCCATCATGTCCAGTAGGACTTGGTTGAGATGATCTTCTGAAACTCCATTTGGCAAGAGAAACAAAGAGATCACTAAAACAGGATATCACTATGAGTTGACCAGATTAAGCTATCAACAAGATAAATGAAATTTTCAAAGAAAAAAATGAGGCAAGGAAGTAGGAGGAGGACTCATCCTTAAAGATACAGCTAAAAACGGAAAAGAGTACTTGTTAAAATTGCTGTAAGGACAACAGGATGAAAAACAATGAGAAAGGGAATTTTCAAAGCACTATGGGTGAACTTAGGCCACACAGACTAGTCAGTATTTGAAGTGGCCAAATTTGAATGATTCAGAGAAAGGTTCAGGTTCAAGGAGAGTAAGTGGAATTGGCCAAATATAAAGCAAAGTTACAAAAGTGCACCAATAATATAGTATGCCACATATTTGACTCAATTTCTCAGAAGTGGGTCATTTAGTTTAGTAATAATACTAGTAACAGGTGCTGGTTTTATTTTGAGAAACAAAGACACTGGGTCCATATTTTGATCTCATTTTTTATTCCTTCTGTGTCTTTTGTTCCTCTTCCCTCCTATCACATGGACGTGGTACAGAGAATGCCAGGTTTAAGTCAATGGGCAGGATGAGAAGTTATAGCAGTCATTGTAGCATCCACTTAGGTGAGTTAAATAGAATCAACCAAGCACATCTGGTGCTTGTTAACATGAAAACACAGTATTTTATATTTTCCAGTGGCAAGGTCATCTGGAAACATGTTCCCAATAAGCCAGGCAGCCAAGAAGAGAAAACTGGTTTCTTTGGGGGTCTTTTTTGAGTAAAATAATTTTCAGAATAAGTTTTGTTTTAATGTTCTAAAATAAAAAAAAAGATGTAGATACATCATATATCAAATTTGTGCTGCCACTAAAATTCACCCACTGGTACTAAAAAGTAACATGCATGAGGTGATTTACACTTTATAAAGATTCTCGTTTTTTTTGTCTCTGACAACTCCAGAAGGAGATATTTTTCCTTTTTTCTTTTTATGGGTTTACTTTATATATTTATTTTTCTATTGGGTAGCTTTTTCTGAAATGCCTATTCTAGTCATTTGCCCATTTTTCTTTTTTTTTTTTTTTACATTTTTAAATTGAATTTATTGGGTGACGTTTAATAAAACCATACAGGTTTCAAGTACACAACACTATAACACATCATGTGCATACTGCATCGAGTACTCACCACCCAAAGTCAAGTCTCTTTCAGCCACCATTTATCCCCCCTTTGCCCTCTTCCATTTCTCTCAGCCCCTTTCCCACTGGTAATCATCATACGGAGATATTTTTCAGATTAACTGAAAAAGAAAGTAACTTCCCCTTTCTAGGCAGCTTCACAAACATTCATTCAGGATGGATACTATCATGTTGTATATTTAAAAAAATTAACTTAAAAATATTTGCCTAGTCATAGTATGTACATGTAACTTGACTAATTCAAGTGGAAGCTGCAATAAACAAAACTCGATACCTAAAATATTTGGTCATATGCCTGTGATTGAGGCAGATGTGAATCTTTATAAAATTACCCTGTGGCCCTTTATGGCTGGTAAAATCACTTAGCAACCAACTTCCTCCCCCCTCCCTCTTGGGACATAATTAAACCTTGCCCTGGTTCACAAAGATTTATTTTTAAAATTTAAAATCTTGTTTAGGTGTTAAACACAATCCATCATTCAATATACAGATGGTGAAAATGAACAGAAAAAAAAAGGTTTGGCCAAAATGTGAAAAGGAATTGTTATGTCTTACCGGACTTTTCCTCTAAAAGCGTAAGCATGGGAAGGAAAAAAAGGAGAACATAAAAGAGGTGAAATGCATTTTCAAGAAGCAGCAGCTTAAGGCTCAGAATAACCATGCTTAAAGCAGCTCTCCAAGGTATTGCTCTAATAAATGCTTCCTATGAGTGTCTGATACGGTCATTCCTAGGCTGCTGGCTTAAATTGCAGGGCAGCAGCAGAGACCACCCCAAAATATGCCATTTTGGCATATTGATTATTTTGAGCTGTAGGCACTTGAAAACAACAAATGCCTAAAGAAAATCCTCTAAAAGAAACTCAATTGTCATTAATCCTCCTCCTTCTGGGAATTTCATCAACCAGGGAGTGTTGAATCATCACAAGAAAGGAGACCAGAAGGCAACACCATACCCAGACAAACTGTCACAAACCATCATGCCTCCCATCTATTCTTCTAAGGGTCCATTCATCTTTCCTAAAAATTATTTACTCTTCCCTAAGAGGGCTATATCCCCTCCCCTTTCCCTATAAAAATGATATTTAATTCTAAATGTCATTTCTTTGAGTTGCTCATTTTTCCTGGGTGTCTTTCACACATACATGAAGTCTGAATATTAATAAATTTCTGTGTGGGTTTTCTCTTGTTAATTTTTCTTTTTGTTAGAGGTCCAGCTGAACACCTAACTAAGATGGGTAGAGGTAAAGTGTTGTCTCCCCTATAAGTTCAAGCTATAGAGGGCATAGATATGGACTTCATTGAGGACATTCTAAGCTCTCTTTTGAATGGTTTATTTTTACCAAATAAATTTGTACCTTGAAAATAGAAAAGTATGCTTTGTAATACTAAAGGAGTTGAAAAATGTCATTATTGCTTTGAAGCCAGGCATGATTATGAGCACGAGATTTTCCAGAAAGTCCAGTCTTGTCAGGGAACCCAGTGCCTGTCATTTCCCAAGATACCCTACCTATAACCATTATTTTTTCATTCCATCTTTCAGTTTTCCCCACTCCCCATGGGCAATTACAAATTAGTTTCCTGGCAAGTGGTCTCTGGCTCCTTGGAATGCTCTTTTATTTCCTCATCAGCTGTCCAAAGTGAGGCCTTCATTTCTTGAAGTACTCCATGAACTTTGTATATGTGGTTCCTAGACTATGGACCTTATGTCCAGTTTCATCTTCTAAATCCATCCTTTTACACTATCCTCAGAATTACTTCCAAAATTAGTGAGGTGAACATATTACTCCAGTCTTCATAAACCTCCCTATTATTCAGAAAATAGAATGTAAGCTCTCTTCTGTCATTTAATGCCTTCACGATGGGCTCCAGCTCACCTTCACGCCCTGGTCTTCTACTGTGCTCTGTATGAAACGACACTTAGCTGCAGACTCTGCTGAATCTCTTCACGGTGCAGTAGACACACACTCTGCCCTGCCTCTGCTCAGGCTGCTGCTTCAGCTTTCCATGCATTCTCTGTCTCCCTTAGTTACAAGCTTACTCATCTTTCAAGGCAGTAACACTTCTTCCCTAAGGCCTTCCAGAAGTCTCCAGGTCAGAATAAATTGTTTCCATCTCTTATTAGAGAACACATTCCTTTTGTTCAAAATAATAAGCCCATATTGAATGCCTTTTTATTTGCCTGGCATTTAATTGCCTCAAGGAAAACAAAGGTACATGTTGCAAGTATATATTTTGCAGTTAATATTTTGTTCTGAATTATTTAGGTATTTCCATTCAATAATTAGTTCACAGTAATTGTTACGAATGGACTCTCTCTAGCCCCAAGCATTGTGCTAGACACGTATCCAAATTAGCTTAGTCCACCATTCTTTAAATGCCTTGAGAAAGTTCTACTATGCCTCAATTTCATAATTTGTAAAGCAATGATGACCGCTACTTTGTTGAATTGTGAGGATTAAAAGAGAGGGTGATATTGACAACTAACATTTAAGGAGGCCTTATATTATTGTTTTACTATTATAGGTGATTGGTGTCATTACTATCACTAACTTACCAATGAGGAAAAGGAGGCAATGATAGGTTCCTAAATCACATGGTTACAATGGAGTGGAGCCTGGGACTCAATCCCAGGTTGTCTAACTCCAGAGAGCCTGGCCAAGGGTGGGCTCCTGGCACAACTCAAGTTCCCTAAACAGATTAAACTCACTTTCAGGGCCTTTTCAGCATTGGGATCTAGAAACAACAGAGCTAAAAACTCACAGATCAGAGAGCTTGGAAAATAATCTTGGATCTTTCCAATGGAAAGAGTTAGGTCATGCCTGTCTATCATAGCAGGTCTCAAAGAATGAGCTTTTCAGAGAGTGAGTTTGTGTTTCTAGGCCTGCTTTCAGATCTTCAAATTAAACTCTGATTTTAAGGTAAATTTCTCAGCCTTTTTCTAGAATTAAATGTATTTTCTTTAATTAGAATCAGAGCAATAAGCATGAATACACAAGTGATATAGCACTTCTCTTTCCTCCTCACACCTTTCCATTCTAGGCTACATGATGATTAAACCATCTTTATTTAAAACGTTGTTTTGCTTTAATTGTTAACAGCTACCAATCTTAGCTTAAGGGTTTCATCAGAATGTTAAACAAACGAACAAACAAACAAACAAAAAGACATGGCAAGATAATTTTCCTTTTCAAAATGAGCTAATTGCATCAGAATTGATTTTTAATTATGGAAAAGATAATAAAAGCACTGGAAAAAGATGTATATTCTCACATGCACTAGTACTTAGAAATAGAGTAAGTGAATTTTTGGATTGGACAAACATATACCTAAAATATAACCATTCAATCTTCTCTAAGTGCAGAGATTTCCCCATCCCATGGCCTGAGAAAATATAATTCTCTAATTTGCAAACCTTGTTGAAAGGCAGCTCATCCTTATGATCAACAGCTTTCCAAGGAGCCCATAGACCCCTGCTCTCTGCAGTTGGAGAATCTCTCTCTGGCGGCAATTACCCCAAATCCTTTTCTAATGCAACTAGTCATTCCAGTTAGGTTTTGTTGAAGGCTACATTTCTGTATGAGGGGCTAGAAATCGGCAACATTTAAAACTGAATTCTGTTTATTCATTTATTAAACCATTAACAAGATATTTATTGAATATCTAATAAAGACCAGAAACTATTCTAGGCATGTTAGTGAACAAAAAAATAGGAACAATAGATAAAAACAACAACAACAACCCTCCAATGAGCTTATTTTGGGAGTAGGAAAAGGAGACAGATAATAAATACAATAAATATGCAAAGTATTTAGTATTTGAGATAATGAATGCAATTTGTTTTTAAATATATTTTTATTGATTTTTTTACAGAGAGGAAGGGAGAGGGATAGAGAGTTAGAAACATCGATGAGAGAGAAACATTGATCAGCTGCCTCCTGCACACCCCCTACTGGGGATGTGCCCGCAACCAAGGTGCATGCCCTTGACTGGAATCGAACCTGGGACCCTTCAGTCCACAGGCCGACGCTCTATCCACTGAGCCAAACCGGTTAGGGTTATGAATGCAATTTTTAAAAGCAGAGCAAGTAAAGAGGTTTGGGTATGCCATGACAGAGAGTTTTGTGATTTTAAATACAGTGATCAGAGTAGGCCTAATTGAGAAAATGATTAGAGCAAACATCTGAAGCTGAGAGGGAAGCCACAGTGCAGCTACCTGGGAGAAGAGGGCACAGACAGGGAGCCCGGGAAGAGTAGAAGGAGAAGGAAGAGTGGCAGGTATTAGTCTTGGGGTAGGGGTCTCCACACCATCAGGGTCTTGGAGGCCACTGTAAAGACTTTGTCTCCACTCTGTTCCAATGCAGCTAATGGCTGTTATTTATCAGTTCTCAATTGTGGATGCTGTGTACTGAGAAGAGGCATCGATGAAACAGATAAAACAGTTATCAGACAATGCTTGGATATGACCTATGCTGTCATTTGTCATTACTCTTTGGCAGCATATTTTGAATCCCTATGTACCATGTCAACAAAATAAAAATAAGACAGGCTTCAAATAAGTTAGGAGGTGGAAAGGAAATTTCAATTTGGCAAAACAGAATGAGACCAGCTCATCTTGCCTTCCCTGTCTGTTGGCCACTTTAGGACAAGAGGCTCAGACTGGCATGCTCGGTTCTGTACCACTGCTGCGCTGGTAGCTGATTCAAAACAATAGTTCCTGAGGTCCATGCAATGAGTGGCTGGCCCTTAGGCAGATATAAGAGACAAAAAGAAATCTTACTTCATTCTGTTTAAAAATAAAATTTCCCCCAGTCACTGAAGAAACATTTTTCTGACATAATTAATGTGAGTGATTCACATGCTAAAATTTTTTTCTAAAACAATTAAAAAGTACATTCATTGCTGTAGATAATTTTTGGCACTGAAAAATTCTTCTTCAAAGAACAAAAAGATAGATATTTTTATACTGTTATAGTTATTTTTATACTACAATTCATACAATACTACAATTCATTATAGAAACTACTTAATATAAAAATAAATATAATAGTATAAGAAAGAGAATAAAGTACTTGTCCTTCATCCTCAGGGTCAAGTGACTGAAATCTGAAACTTTAGATGAAAAAAACAGATTTCTCACTGGGAAGAGAATTATGATAGAAAGCTAGCACCCACAGAAAAGAACACATTAATAAATTTAAAAAAATACCCTGTAAAGTGTAAGAGAAGAAATGGAGCCATTGTTCACATTTTTTATCCATCCAAAAATGGAGAAAAACTTGACTGAATTAAAGGAGAAAAGATCAAAGAAATGCAGAGCCATACCTTTGCTCTCTCTATAAAATAATCCGAGGGATATAAGTTGCATTATATCACAGTGAAACACCAAGTTCCATATAATTTCTCACAGCGAAGAACATCCATTCATCCAACCAACCAACAGGTATTTCCTAAGGACCTACTACATGCCACTCAATGCTGTAGGCTCTTGAGCAAAGGCCCCATTAAGGAAGAAGTAAGAACCCACACTTCTAGGTGCAGGATTAGTTATCATAAACTCTCATTTCCTT